ACTTTAAAGCACGTTGCCTTTGCGAGTCGGCCTCTGCCGTTTTCTGTCTGGGAAGCCGCGTTAGTTGCCTCTGCTACAGATCAGGTAAAACACGTGGTGGCTTCTATCTGTGAGTCCACCGCAAATGGCGTCAGCCTGGAGTATTTCGGCAGCTAGGGTTTCCTTGCCCGGGTCTGCGGAAGCCCCTTGGCCCTCATTCCCAAACTAGGGTGCCGGTGCCTTTTTCTTCAGGTGCTTTTCCCGCACTTCAAATTCTAAGTTTTCACTGCTTAAAAAAAAATTAAAAAAAAAAAAATTGAATAAACACGGGGAATAAATGAGGAGTCTGGCCTCTTGTGGCTGCGATGGAACCGTACAAGCGTGCAGCGAGGTTTGGAGGCAAAGGTAATGGTTTTTGTCAGGCCAGAGGATGGAGTTGGGGGGGAAAAAACAGCTCAGCTTTTAGGCACACGGGCCCAGACAGAAACCACGGATTTCAGATGAGCACGGGCAGTTGCTCCGAGCATAACTTCGTTATGTTAATCAGTGAGGCACTTTGAGACGAAAGGGCGCGGGGCGTCTGTGGAGCGGAGGGGGGGTGATGTCTGGCTGTATCGGTTAGCCCTAGTAAACGCCGTTCTCTCTCGCTGCAAACCTTGCTTTGCTTACGGGGGAGACGGGGAAAAGCTCTTGAAACAAGAGGGAAAAAAGCCCCATGTAACACCTCGCTGGAGGCACCGGCCGGGCCCCGTCCGTTGCACGTGGTGGAGCGCACGGCCCCAACCAGAGCACCCGCAGGGAAAAGGCAAGAAAAGAAAAAAGGGGGGTCCCGGTTGTTTGTGCGAGGTGGTTTTTCCTCGGTGTCACAAGCTTGGGGCAGCCTCTCAAAACTCGGGAGCAGTTTATTTCGTTGCGGACACTAAAACGCTGTAAGGAAGTCAAGCAAGGTGGGCTGGCTTCCATTTGCCAGTCCAAAGCCCGAAAGCCTCTGGATCCCGTTAATAATTCCTCGAACCGTCCGTGCATCCCAGTTTAGTGCCTGAAAGTGGGACAGCGAGGTAAGACCGGGCTGAGGTCAGGGCAGAACTGCGAGCGACGTGCTGTCATAAACAAGAAAACCGTAGCGGTCTAGTTAACAAAGACGAGTCCTGTGTGATCTGGAAGCCCTGGAAAGAGTCAGCTCTCCCCCTGCAAACACAACAGACACCCTCTGTGTCTGGAGAGTGGCTGTGCCTGGGGGCAGCAGTACGGGCTAATTGGGAAGCTTTGATTAATGGGCAGTGCCTGTTTCTGACACAGGTGGTGTTTCTGCACATTAAAGTGGCTGCCTTTATGGAGGTTTCTCTTATTGAATTATAGGGAATGTGCTTGATACCCCCGCAGCCTCGGGATATCAGACCAAAAGGTAGCGGGAGAGTCTCCGGCCCCTCCTCCCCCTCTTCCCTTCTGCCCCCGTTTTGTTGTTTTCTTTCAGGAAGGGTGAATTCAGAGACATGGCTTTTTCTTTCAAGCGCTTCCTGTCTATTTTTGTTATTTATTTTATTCCCAGCTGGTTTTGCTGCCACTTTGTGGACTCCACGTGCCTCCCGTTTTGCACTTGCCGATGCAGTTTGTTGGCTAGGAGACTCGCCGCGCGCCACGTCTCGAGATTTACCAAGCCGAGCTGATAGGTTTAATTTATAACTGCTGCCTTAATTGAATAATCTGATTTAATCCGCCACTCGGTGCGTGATCCAAACAGTCTCCAGAGGGGCTCGGCCGGGAATACGAAGGGAACGTGCGCGCCGGGGTTTGCCGCGCAGGTCCGGGGTGGTGGGGAGGCAGGGGGGCTGCCACTGCCGGGATGCTCGCACAGAGCTCGCCGCAGTCGCGGCACCAAGAGCTTGACATCTCTGCCGCAGAGGGAAGAAGCCCTTCTCTGTCGTTTCCACGGGATATATCCGAGCCCTGCTGCTCTCTTTTCTGCTGCGTGAAGCAGGACAGACGATGGCGGGACGGCGAGGAGGTGGATGACGATTAACCGACCGTTAACAGGGCATCTCCGAGGGTGCAGCATTCCTCCCAGCGCTCTGAGCGGGGACGGCGATGGTGGGAGGCAGCTCGGCCTTGGCTGAGCGACGCTCTCCCCTCTGCGGGTGTAGATGTTTGTTTCATTTCAACAAAATCCAAATTAAATATTCCATCTCGTAACGCGGCGGGGGAAAAAAAAAAAAACAAAAACCAGGCAGGTCATTGCTGCCATCCCGGGCACTAACGGCAGCCTGGATGCTACAGCCGGTTCGTGCCAACGAACAGCTAAAAGGCTTGTGATTGTGTTTCCAGGGCGCTTTCATACACGATTGTGCCCTGAATCTGGTTAGGCCCCGTTTGCCTTTGCACTTGAATATGCAGCGGCACCAGGGTGAAGCGGCGCTTCCTAAGGGACCGGCAGAACGCGTCTCCCCTCTGAGGTTATAAACCAAAGGAGGGCATTTTTTGGAAGTGTGTACTTTTTTGGTTTGTTTTGTGAGCTCGTATCCTACATGTCGTGCCAGAGAAAGAATACTCTTCTGTATGGATACGTAGCGTTTGCCGGGCAGTGGTCACTCAGAGGTTCAAAAATGCCGCGTCCCAGTGCTGATTTTCTAAACCTTTCGGATTGGAGTCATCTGTTACAGCTCTTCCTGACGTTGAGTGAGGAGGGAGGAAGGAAAAGTGTCGTTTATTTTTTAGTGTAGAGATTTTGTTTAAAGGGTGGTGCAGAAAATCTACTCTTTAATTATAAAATCAGAAATTTTGAACACGCTGAGCAGCTATGACGTTGAAATCGGTTGGTGTTTCAAAGCCGAGGAAAATGGGTGAGCAGGAATATCGTCCCGCCCTGGTCTGAAGGAAATCGGTTTTATTTTGGACAAGACAGGATCCTTTACACGTTCTGTATTTCGGAGCGTGTAGCACTTGTTGCAGCGAGGCAGGTGGCCTGCGGGTCAGGTCGGTCTTTTGCGAGGAAACAGCTTTGGTCTGGTTTGAGGTTCGTCTTCGTCCACCTCCCAGAGCCACCGACGGTGGGGCTGGGCGAGCGGTCCTGCGCCCGCCAGCGCCTTCTTCGAGGATGCGGTAGACCCTGGACGGTAGATGCAGAGCCTGGACGGAGGAGAGCGATCCCGCGGTGGGTGCGGACCTGGAGACATCACCCCCTGGTACCCTGAGCCCGGGCGGTCTGCGAAGCGCCGCGGAATGAATTGATTTGATAAATGGACATTTATTACACTCACAAATTGGCTGAAACCAATTTCGGTCACATCAACCCCTGATAACTGCTAGGGTATTGATTTGTGTAAAGTAATACAGTGAATTTATCAGTTCAATAGCAAGCTGAAGGGCCTCTCAGAGACACAGCACTACAGTTACGCTGTTACAGATGTACAAAATAAAGTGAGAGCGCTGCAGCGGCGCTGGAAATGGCTCCAAAGAAGAAGGCCCAGGCGTCATCATCAGCCTCTTTGCTTGGACATTGGGTCTGAATGCCTTAATGAAATTTCAGCAAAGCAGCGCGACCTACCTCCTTTTATTTATTTATTTCTGCCGTCCCCGAAGTCGCAGGAGGAAGGGGACAGCCGTCCAAGAGGCACAGCAC